CTCAGAGGTTGACTGCCTACCTGGATCTGAACCTCAACAAATGCTATGTTATCCCAATCAACACGTCCATCGTCATGCCTCCCAGAGACCTTTTGGATCTGCTCATCAATATTAAGGTACCAGAAATCTGACCTCAACCACGCTGGATTCCTGAAAGACTAAGATCTGATTCTGTCATATTGTTTTTCAAGAGCGGTGAATAAAATGAAGATTTAGAAACTAAGCAACATGTCAGAACAGGCGCTCTGTCCTTTAGATGCAATAGGGCCTGATGTAGCATGTGTTAGTCTAAAGGAATGCACTGGGTACATTTTTCATCGCAGTCAAATGTTCCAACAAATCATTATTGACGGAAAATGATGTGACTCACAAAGCCTTAGGTTATGTGGTAAAATGTTAAAACTCAGGGTGTCAAAGTATTTCTTTTGGGTTGGTGAGCATTTAATAAAAATGGAGGAAAAAAATGTGTTTGACAAAAATGAAAGTATATTTTTCTGTGATGGATTTGTTTAGCATTTTTCCTCTCTGTCCAGGCTGGTACCTACCTGCCTCAATCCTACCTGATCCATGAGGAGATGGTGGTGACGGAGCGCCTGGAGCACGTCGACCAGCTTGGATACTTCATTAACAACCTCTGCCGTGGGAAGGAAACCTTCAAGCTTCAGCGCAGAGACAGAATCCTGGGTGTGTACCTTTTTATAACCATTTAACAGCAGCTGTGTCACACAAACAAAATACTGAGCAGGTTAAAGAGTAACTGAACCGAAGGAAATAAGGCCCACTTGATCTTAAAGCAAATATGGGGTGCATTGTTTTGAAGGGGATTCACACCCTTTAACCCTTCAGCAACTTTAATGTATTTTATTGGGATTTTATGATGCTTAATTCCCCCCACTTAGGGAGAGAGGATCAGGCTGAAGGTGTTTAGATGTTTCCTCACCAGCTTCATACAGCTGGATGCTTATTTTTTTAATTTATTTTACTTTTTTGTTAATCTGCTTTGTTAGTAGCTCAAATTCAGGCAGATTGGTTAAAATATTCATAAATATCCATTTGAGGTCTCACCATTTCTCAGTTATAGTTCTAGACTTAGCCATTTGAGAATAAGATTTTAATCAAAGCTGTTTGTAAAAATAATTAGTTTTGTTATATTTTTATCAAGTAATGTAATAATGAAGGGGAGCGAATACAAATTAATGTTATAAAGTTTATGTCAGGGTTTGGTTGAGGTTTGAAGACCCAGATGCAGAGGCTGAGGAGATTTCTTGCAGTTTAATTGATGAAAAAACAGAAAACAAAGGCAGGAATCCAAAAATCCAATTAATAATGTAAATCAAATCAGAACTATGGAGACATTTGGGGAAACCAAACATGAGAAGCCAGGGAGAGACGAGGTAGGTAGACAACAGCATGGGAAGACGGCAATGACAAGGAACCAACAAAGAGTGACAGCAGAGGGAGAGTATATGTAGCTGACTGAGACAAAGGCAGGGTTAACGAGCGGATAAGGAGCAGGTGTGAGTGGCGACGAGGAAGCCAAGGGGAAAGGAACACACACAAGAGGGCAAAGAGGACAACAGAAAAACCTGAGAACTAACATAAATCTAGAAACTACAACAAAAATAGAAATTAAACCAATAAAACTAGAAAACAAGGAGCAAAGTAAAGCACAAAAGAACCAAGACCATGACAGTTTAACAACTTCATATCAAACAGGAGGTTTCTTCCTGTTAAAAGGACGTTTTTCCTCTCCACTGTCGCTACATGTATGCCTGGTCTGAGAGATTACCTTCGAGTCAATTAGTTGATGCAATCAACTGGTTTTCCTTAGATAGAAAACTTTGAATCAATCTGACTGTATGATCTGGTGCCTTGAGATGACATGTGTTGTGAATTGGTGCTGTAGAAATTAACTGAATAGAATCATTTTCCTCTCTCTTAATAATTATGCTTTTATGTTAGTCTGTCAAATAAAGTTCAGAGACTATATATTGTTTTCCATGAGAACTTGAATTTGAGCTGCAAACTACCATTTTTGCAGCTTGATAACAAACCTTTTTCCATCTCACAGGTATCCAGAAGCGTGAAGCTCTCAACTGCCACAAGATTCGCCACTTCGAGAACAAGTTTGTGGTGGAAACTTTGATCTGCGAGCCTTAAGACGCCTCACCACAGCTCTTAAAGCCACTGGCGCCGAGTGAGATTGTGTTCTTGATCCTCACCTATCTGTCTACTATTCTGCAATAAAACGTTTGAGCGACTGAGGGGAGTGAAATGTGAAGCTGTTTGGTAAATATCTACTGAATGTTGATTTAAAAAAAAAAAAAGGTAAAGCTTATAATTTTCTTCTTTCTGCATGGGAATCATCTAGGAGTATATTCAAGAAAATACCTAGCTTAAAATTTGCTGAATATCAACGTATAAATTATTATAATCAAAGCAGCTGCAGAAGTAGCAAACATTTGCTTTTTTAGATGTGACGTAATCTCTGATTTTCTGTTTGAATATAAAACCTTAGGCGACAGGGCAACCTCTGTATCACTGATTCTGGTTTTTCAACCTCATCAGTCTAGGGAGACTATTTTTCTAATGTCTGCTGTAGCTGATAGTATACTGCACCAGTTGTTTCCTATCTGGAAATCATTCTTAATGTAAGATTTTGGAATTGTTTTGTTTGTTTTCAACTCTTAAAAAAACAGGAAAAAAGTGGAAAGAGAAATAAGAATTAAGGGCTACCAAGAAGCACACTTATATGAAAGTCTTTTTCAAATATTTTTTCTAAAAGTTTCATTTTTGACAACTTTTCTTGTACTAATTTGTGTATATAATCTCGTCAAAGAAATAAACAAACCAACACAATAAACCAAAACTGGGAAAAACATTTCTTCTGTCTGCTTCATTTCTTAAGTAATTTAACTGTATTGCCTCCTAGCCAGTAAGTGGATTAACCCCTGATGGATCCAGGCAGTCTGCAGGCTTCATCATGACATGCCCTCCTTAGGCGGGGAGCATCATACTAAATATTGTATGGGTGCTGTGCTGCTGCCTCCCTGGAGACTGGATCAGCTGTCAGAGCAGGCGCCCAGGCCGGTGTCATCTGATCACAGTGGAAATTCATTTGTAATTAAAGTGCTAATCGGAGAGCACCCTCACACAGGAGCATCATGGGAAAAAGACCAGGAATTAGGCTGTGGATAGATGGATCGGTCACCTTGAATGAGCATGCAGGATGTCTTGTTGGTACTGAAACATACAGTCAGATTATCCAAGAAAAAATTATTCATGTGCTAAATTAAGGCGCCTGATTTTATGCCTCCTGGTCTTAGTTGTCATTTTGTTTGTTTAAACTTGGATCTATGTTCTGACCAGTTGCTGGTACCAACTAATATGAAAAAATTATGAAATCATAACCTTTCCTTCAAGAGCCTTTGAAAGATCCAAAGAAAAAGATCAGGTTGCTGAAGGAAGACAATAACTCCAACTGCAGGTGAAGCAAAGGACATCCTGTGACCTTTATCAAGATCCATGGTTCCACACAGGAGAGCCAGCTCCTCAGGAAAAGCTTAAATTCTAAGAGTAGGGACATTTTGTTGAGGACCGAAAAGGTGGTTTAAAAGCAGAGGAATGTGTAAATAAGAAACAACTGAAGAGAAGAGAATAGATTTGTACCTTAAAAACATGAAGTGCAGCATTAAGCCTGACTGAGACTGATTCCAACGTCTTTTTTAATATAAACAATACAATGGCATTTGGAAAAAAACAGATGGTTAGTTGTAAAGCATTACAGTAGACATGCTAATTTAGTATCAGCATGTCTACCCATGAAAGTTCAACCTTTTTTGTGAGCAAAAGTCTGTCCAGGCTAATGTTTTGGGGGGAAAGGAGGTAAAATGCTGTAAATGATGCTTTAAAACTTTTAACTAGCTGCAATTGCAGAAAGCAATTTGAATTAAAGGGTTTTGACATTTCTTCTATGAAAACCATCCAGTTGCTTTGTTTTCTGAAGTCAGTAAACTATACACAAACCCCACATCAATTCTATTGTAATATTCACTGAAGTAATCATTTGTGGTTCATTGCAAAGAAAGTAAAAAAAAAAAAAAAGCACCTATATGATGGGCTTTACCTTAAATGGAATTCTGTACTCATGGCAACACAGAATACTCTTCCATTTTTATCAACAAATTAGTGCTGTGATGCGGTGGAGATTATTCACCAGGTAATCATCTTATAAGAATCTCACACCAGCATATGTTTTTTTAGTTTGGAACCAGATAAGCAGTATACAGGAAATTTTGGTCTAGTAATAGATTTTGAGTTTGGTAATGAATACTGTAGCCACATTCAAAGCAATGAAATTAACACCCAGTTCTCGTTAAATTGAAAATGTTTTAGTTTTTATACAGATTTGATCATTGACCAAACTTTCATACATATACGTATATAAATATAATAAAATTTCAAATCATTCTTGGAACCTGATCTTTTATGTGATCTATTCAAGTCTTAATAGATTACTTTGAAAGAAAACACATGTTTAACAGAGTTTTTTTTAAGTCTTCATGCCAACTTTGAGAACTGCGAGTTGTGTTTTAATTGGTGGGGATCACTAAATGTGGCAATAGACTGCTTTGAGCTGTTACTGCGAATAAAGGTCCAAATCTCTGTTCTGAGGATTTAAGTACATCAGTTTCCTTTTACTTTGGCTCCTAAGCTTCTACAGATCAAGTATATGAGGGATCAGTACTTCTGCCATTTAGCTACTACAGCATACTGTCAGTCAAGGTTTAATTTTCAAAAAGGAAAATCAATTTTTAAATGATGACATTTACAGGAGAGGCATTGTTCTTCAATGTGGGAATTTCTAATAGACCATATCAATAAAAAAGAAGGTGAAAATTCTTCTTTAGCAAGGTTTAAAATTTTTGAGGAATCATTCCAACAACTACATCTCCCAGTGTGCTCTGCGGCACCTACTCTAGCGTACCGTGCTGTTTTTTTTTTTTTTTTACATTTAAAGACAGACATTACAATGACGTCTCACGACTTTTAAACTTATAACTGTTTTCTTTGTCTTTAAACAATGTAAAACCTGCGTTTATTCAGTTCCTAAACCGTAAGTAAATATTTCTTTTATTTAAGTATATATATAAAAAAAGACTAAACATATTTTCCTCCCGGACGAAGAAAGGTGTAGCTGGTTTGCTAACTGTGTTTTTTTGTATCCATGGCAACGGTCGTGTTCCGCTGCAATCTAAGTTGAGTAAAAAAAAAGAAAAAAAAAAAAAAGAAAACTTCTATGGGATAATGGGAGTTAATAATTTATGGTAGCATAATCCAAACGTTTATCAACGTTTATCATATGTATGTGTGTTCATCATGTATCAACATACTGATCTAACTTTTAATCTACTATTATGAATAATAGTAGTATAATAGCATCATCTATCTATCTATCTATCTATCTATCTATCTATCTATCTATCTATCTATCTATCTATCTATCTATCTATCTATCTATCTATCTATCTATCTATCTATCTATCCATCCATCCATCCATCCATCCATCCATCCATCCATCCATCCATCCATCCATCCATCCATCCATCCATCCATCCATCCATCCATCCATCCATCCATCCAAATCTGGAAAGAAAATGTTTGCAGTTTGAACATGGTTTTGGTGCCACTGCTTACTAACACCTCCCTGATATTTCTGTGTCACAGCATTTTTCCAGTTGTTATGAATGACTATGAGGTGATTCGGCAGATCGGAGAAGGTGCCTTTGGTAAAGCCTTACTCGTTAGAGACAGGAGGGTGGATGGAGAGAAGCTCTGTGTGGTGAAACAGATCAGCCTGAAGAAGGTAGAGCAACAGCAGCACACTGTCTGCAGGCTGCAGACCAAATCACCACCTGTGCTCATCTATCAAGGAATTAGGAAGCATGATCTTCTTTGGATTTTAAACAGATCCTAGTACTGAGAGATTTTGTAGCACACTTCTAAAAAAACAAAGATCCTATTATTTATGGAGTTGTGATTTAACAAAATTTGCCTCTCATTGGCTTTTAATTGTCACACTTCATATTAGTTAAAATTATTCCTCATCTTTAAATGAGGAAGTAATAACACCTAAACTATGGTAAACATTATTTTTCTTTCCTACCTAGACATTCAATCCTCACAAACAGTTATCTATTTTTTTTTCTAAAATATAACCTGTGTTATATCATCATCATCCATTAGCTTCAGAGAGGTCCTTTCCCTGGAGCCAGGTGGTTTTTACCCTGAGCCAGAAGGTGTTTCCAACTAAAACCTGTTTTGTGTGTTAAAAGAAAAACTCTGTGTTTACTTTTGTCCTCTCTTAACCTTTAAAATGATTTTTATGAATATGAAAAAAGGTCAAAATTTTTTAAATACAAAGTTGCTTTAAACATCACTTTGAGTTCTGTTAAGACTTTCTCATTGACAATGTAGTGTGTTCACTGTTTAGATGTCCTCGAAAGAGAAAGAAGCCTCTAAGAAAGAAGTTATTTTGCTGTCGCAGATGAATCATCCCAACATCGTTTCTTTCATCACTACGTTTCAAGGTGAGAACAGATCCTTTTCAGAGCTTTCTATGTATTCATTAATGAGTGAAATGACAAATAAAACATAAATAACTCATATCACTGGTAGATTAAGGTTTAAAGAAATTGCTAAACTTTTCCGAAATGCTTTTACTGATAGAATGGAGCTAGAACTCTGGGATTAAACCAGTCAGTCTTGACCTGACTAACCTGTGGAGGAAACTAAAGAATAGGATGATGAAATTAAAATAATAACAGATACATTAAAAAAGGAGGTCAGGAAATTAGGTGGGAGAGTAACAAATTATAATTAAGAAATAGTAGAAATATTTTGAAAAAAAGGCTACGCAAGTACTAAGTAACTGGTCTACTTGCTCCCTAGCATCATAACTTCTCATTTAATATTTTCACATGTCAAATTACACAACATGTTCAGTGGGTAAAATAAGTATTGAAGGCACCACCATTTTTCGCAGAAAATATATTTCTAAAGGTGCTATTGATATGACATATTTACCAGATGTTGGTAACAATCCATGCAATCCACCGATACAAAAAATCAAAGCATAGATGGCCAGAAATAAAGTTCTGTGTAATAAAGTGAAATGGCAAAGGGAAAAAATATTGAACACACTTGCTGAAATTTATTTGGTACTTTGTACAAAAGCCTTTGTTGACAATGACAGCTTTAAGACGCCTCCTGTATGGAGAATCAGTCGCATATGTTGCTCAGGTGTGATTTTGGCCCATTCCTCCACACAAACAGTCTTCAAATCTTGAAGGTTTCGTGTGCCTCTATTATGAACTCTGATATTTAGTTCATTTCAGAGATTTTCTGTTAGATTTAAGTCAGGTGAATGACTGGGCCATTTTCTTTCTCTCTTTGCTTGACTGTGTGTTTGGGGTCATTGTCTACCTGGGTTATTTTTTTAATGTAAACAAGTCTGTTCTTCAATAAGTAAAATTAATCATGATGGGTAAAGTCATAGTAGTGATACTTTTTCGTAGTTTTTTTCGTAGTTTAGTAAAAGTGCAGTACAATGATATATAATAGTAGTTTTTTTCAAAGTTAGTGAAGTTAATTTAACTAGATACTGATGATACTAGTCAGGAATGATCAGAATTTCCTCTCAGAAACAAACTTCTGGGTTAAACTGATAGAGTTAACATGTAAATCTTCCAGAGCTATAGATCTTTTTAGGCTTATCTGTGGATGTGAATGATTTCCCTGCAGAGAAGGGCGGTCTGTACATAGTGATGGAGTACTGCGATGGAGGAGATCTGCTGAAGAGGATCAACATGCAGAGAGGAATACCCTTCTCTGAGGAGCAGGTACTCAAAGCATAACACATCATAATCAGAACCTCACCTGTTTTGGACGAATTCTCGAACTGAATATGAGTCACTAAAGAAACAGGAAGAAAAAAAAAGTTTTTTGTTAAATTGAGAAATATGCTTCAGACTGAGATTATTGTTTATGTTTCTCAGATAGTGGACTGGTTCATTCAGATCTGCCTGGGCCTCAAACACATCCACGACAGGAAGGTCCTTCACAGAGACATCAAATCTCAGGTATTTAACTGTCGCTAACTCAAACACAAGCAATGAAAATATCATGAAAAATCAACCCATTCATTCACTGAAAATGTTCAAAGTTGAACTCAAATAAAAGATAAACTACAAAAATAAAACATATAGATCTCTAAACGATAAACTCCCATGAACTTACTAGGATAACCCTGTTTTCTCTCTTCTTTTGAACGACATTACTTAGATTAAAGGTTTTTATATTTTTTATAGTGTTGTTGATATTATTCAACTAAGCATTTGACTTACATATAATGGGACATTCCTTTATTGTTAAAACAAGTCTGAAATCTGTTTGGGTCGCAACTCATTCGTAAATGCAGACAGGATCTAGAAAAACATTAAACATAAGGTAATGCTGATGCTGGTGGATGATGATCTGTTTAGTTTCAGGCCCGACTGATTTAAAAATAAGATTTCTTAGTTAAACTTTATAAAACTGTGAAATGTTTTATCTATGAACTGCTTAACAGTTGATGTTTTTATTTTTATTTTAATGGTTGTCGTGGTTGGAGGGGATGTTATTCTAACCATTTTACTCTGGTAGGAAGCTTTATAAAGTTTTTTTTGGCTGCGTGTCTTAAAGTTTAGATCTTTATTCAATGGACAGACTTTTATCATGTGGCATTACAGTGTTAAAAAACACTCATGAGGCATGAGAACAAAATAAGAACTTCTCTATCAGCTCTGAAGGCCCTCGGGTATAGAAGGGAATAATTAATCCTTTGTTTTCTCTTTATAAAGTTCAGTTCAAAGGTTTTTTTGTTTTTTTTTAAGAAATAGTATTGTGTATTGATTTTGTGTACAACAATTATCAGTTTAAAGGTTGAATAAAACAGCCAAACTTCCAGCCATCCGTACGGAGCATTAGCTTTAGCAGTAGATAATAAGGTCTTATTGGCTTTAAAAATCCATATCCTTTTTTGCAGTATAGAGGCACGTCAGTATAAAGAACGAATTAGATCCTTTTTGGATTATTTTTCTTATTAGAGTGTCTATTTGAGTTGAATGAAGATGTAAAAGCCCCAAATGTGCATTTGCCTGACATTTATCTAAATGTTTGGTAGTTAAATGAGCCTTTGTGGCGACGGTTTCCTTCGTTCCCTTTCCTGACTTACTGGTATGAATCAAGTTTTTCCTGAGTTGCTCTGACAAGATGAAATGAAATCCTTTCTGGAGACTTCTAGAGGTTAGAGTGGAAGGAAAAAAGCTTGATTGCTCAATGTTTTCAGTAGTACAGGGACAGGATGCAAACCAACAGAGGATATTGGTAACCATGCTCTGAATAACCCCTCTTCTTGCTCGAGGGTTTTCAAATATAACATTTCTGTCGGTCCAAAGCTTAAAAGTCTTATAATAATAATAAAAAAAGTATGTATAATTAAGTATAAAGTAATTTATTAACAAATTGAAATCATGCATAATTAATTATCTTCATCACACATGAAACCTGTCCTTTTTATTTATTTTTTATAAATATCTTAACCCTGTTTCCCTCAACTGATCAGTCTAGGTGATTGAAGCTGGCCACTGTGTTTCAGCTTGTCGATAATAAACCACTAAAACACATCAGAGAATCTTAGAGAGAGAAAAAAAATAGGCTGAAAAGCCTCCATGTGAATGCAGCCAAAACAACACGTCTGTTTTGCTCCACAAGTGAAAGTGGAGCGGCAGGAGGGAGTAAATGCAGGTGGAGTCAGATAAAGAGGAGGAGAGACATGACCCAGCAAGGACAGACAGAGAGGTTAGAGTAACTGCTAAAAGAAGTCAGCCGTTATTCACAGAGATAACTGTGAAGTTATACACAGAAGTCACAGAAAATATTAGCACTAGAAGAACTAATAAATGAGGGCATGAGGAAATAGTTATTCCCTTCAAAAGGTCACAATTTCACTGTATTATATAATATAAGGGAGGGCGTTGGGTACTAACTTAACTGTGCAGTATATTTCTATAAAACATGCCATCTTGTGGAGGCCTATAATATAAAGTGGTTAATCCTCATGTTGTGGGTTGAAGCCCCACCCCCATGGACTGCTACTCTGGGTCCCTGAGCAAGAACCATGACCCCACACTGCTCCCTGGGCGCTGCACAATGGCAGCCCACTGCTCCGCATTTTTTTATTGGTTAGAAGTATTCTTAACCCTAACATTTTTGCAAAAACCGATTTATAACCACAAGTTTAGTCTATTTTATGCAGAGATCAACATAAAGTAACCTAGAAGTATGGTTTTCGATTTGTTTTCTTTACAAAATAAAAAAATAAATAAATCTTGTGCAACCAGTTTCGTTATATTTTCCCTTTTACTCTGAACACACCATTCCCTTGTTGAAGCATGGTAGTGGCAGTATAATTTTTTGGGAATACTGGGTAGAGTTAACAGGAAAATTATCTTAGATTGAAAAAAAACTTGAGAAGTATTATCATAACTGGAAAAATACTTCCTGATTAGGTTACATCATACTGTGTTTTTTCAAACAATTAAAATGTGGGTTCTCTAGATTACTTTGGTTTAATTGCTAAAATCAACCTTACAGTGTAAAAAAATAAATAAGTAAAAGAAGACCCTTCAAATTTTGGTGTCTATGAACACTTTGAGCATCCTTTCTCTGGGGTTAATCTAATTAATTAACAGGCATTATGATCACAGCTCTGTTATTGTCCAGCTGCACTGTTCTGAGATCAGATTTGCTCTGGACAAAGCCCCCACTCTGTGGGAGCTCACCAACAATGACAACAGACTGCATTTCTGTTCACAGCCATCACTGACTTTCATCAGTCGTATTAGTTTTCAGACACACTCACATCCCCTTAACCTTCCCCCAACACACTAATATACATACCACACAAATGTGCCTTTATTCCTGCTCTCACTTTTGCCCAGAATATCTTCCTAACCGACGGAGGGATGAAAGTAAAGCTGGGGGACTTTGGAATCGCAAGAATGTTGAATAAGTAAGTTAGCGTGATCCTCGCACACATAGACACACACGGCGCAGCTGCCTGTCAGTGAGTCTGCTGTAGCTTCATGGAAGAGCTCCAAACATCTTATTATCATTCCTCAAAGTGACAAAGAGGACATGTAAACACAAGAGTGTAGAAATGGTAGCCAGCTGGTAGCGTCTGGTTGCAGAAATCGGTTTGATAGCATGATAGAGTGCAATGCTTCCCTGTCTCCTTGTCTTTATTTTTCTACTTTACTTACATTCAGCAGAAAAATGTGAAAGACAGACAGAGAATGGCAGATTCATTCATACATTTAGAGAGAAGTGGACAATTTTTTAGATCTATAGATGTATGAAATCAAAGGAAGACAGGATAGGAAGCTTTTTTGGTTAATTAAATTAATTTACCAGTCAAAATATTTACTGTGGGCATGCTCTGGAGGCGCAGTGGTTAGCGCACACAACCCATGTACAGAGGCCTTAGTCCTCGAAGCAGCTGAATCAGGCATGTGGTCCTTTGCCGCATGTCTCTCCCTTTCCTGTCAGCCTACTGTCCAAAAAAACGAGTAACTAGTGCCGTAAAAAATATTTCCATAAAAAAAGCATCTAATTAATCGTCATATTTTGGCTCAACAGAGGGTTCAGTGATTGATTTTATTTCTTACTGTGCAGCACGCTGGAGATGGCTAGGACCTGCGTTGGGACACCATACTACCTCTCACCGGAGATCTGTGAGAGTCGGCCCTACAATAACAAAACGTATGTACATCTTGACAACCTGATTTCACCCAAAATCATCTGTACAGAGGAATTTTTCCTCATATTAATTCCAGTTATTTAGTTGCTTACATTGTTTTTGGTATGACATTTTTGTACAATACTGCATTTCAAACATCAATGCTAAAAGATGATATAGGATTCTAGCCACCTCTTAAACAATCAGGACAAAAAGAAAAACAACATTTCACTCAATTTGTTTTTGGAACTTTTTATTTTCAGTAACTGTTTTATATCCACATATACACATGTCCACTCTGGTTACATTTCACATTTCGTATCTTAACATTTTGTTTATACAGATGATTTTAGACATTTTACCAACACTAAGCAACAAGGCTGTTAAGTTCCTGCTCTGCCAAAAGTTATCCAGGGGTTGGTGATGATTAATTTCCTTCAAACATACATTGTTCCCATTAAGAAACCTTATACGAAAAAAGAAAGAAAGAAAGAAAAAACAGCTTTAAACAGAGGGGTTGGACTCAGGTTTCAGCTTTCAAAAACCTACAATGCAGCAACTGAGCTGATCCCTTCCCACTATCATCACAACCCCAACCGCTTTACAGGGGAACAGAAAACCTCGCCTATTCAGCCAGGCCAGCAATTTCCTTTCACGACCCCCCTTTCAGAGGCCGTTTCTCAATATGTGTGCTTGTGCGTTCTCATGTGCTTGTGTACTTGTGAAACATCATCAGCCTCGGCCCTAGTAATGTTCCAATTCACAAGATGAGCAGACCGAGAACAGACAAAGTCCCCGGATGTTGATCTCGCCCCTCCGTCTTTACCGAGTATGTATCAGAGAAGACTTGTCCATTCTTGAGATTGATAGCTGTCCCCGCTTGCACTGCGACAATAGTAGCTTCCAATGGAGCACTCACAGAGCTCAGAGTATTAAGTTAAAAGTTCTCTTTCTGTTACTGTTGTTTATTAAAGGTACATTTTAAAGGAATACTACACCCAAAACATGATTAGCCTTCATTTTCTACTCACCCCCATGCTGAACAACACTCTGGAGTACTTTTTTGATATCTCAAATGCATCTGGAGATCTGGGAGGCTTCTTGCTGTCTGCTGACATTCAAATAATGGAGGTCTGTGGCGCCCGAGGCAGAAAGGTCCATAAAAGTCCACAAAAAACGTGTCAATATTCCTCCATACTGCTCGTCCAATGTATTCCAAGTTTCCTGAGTGGGTAGCGTCCATAATTTACTCGAAATGAAGTCATTTAGAATGATTTAGAGCATAAACAGTAGTGTATAGGATTTCCTAAAAGAGCGTTCACGAGTCTACGGAATCTGCGGCAGACCAAACCAGATGAAAGTGCGCATTCAGCGTCTGCTCTGCCGATAATGCAAGCGTAGAAGAAGAAATGTGCTGTTTACCTGTGCAAAGAAAGAAACAACGAAAGAAAAATGTCTGAGGAATTTAGTGTTGAGGAAGAGCATGAGTTCTTTGCTGAGCTGAATGCTCATTGAGGTGAGAACATTATACTCTAAGCATCACTATATGGCTTATTTACTGATTTAGTGCGTGATAAAAAAAAATAAAAATGTCTGAAGTTGAGAGGACCGTAGCAACCTCCAAGGGCAACTGCAGCCAGGGCTAATCATAGACTGTCTATAGCAGCCCTCTCTCTGCAGAGACTTGCGTGAAGTACCGCTGGCTCTGATGGCAAGTTTTTTGTTTTAATTGGTAAAATGTGCATTTGATTTGTGTTTATCTGACTGTGTTAATTATTAACCACCCACTAAATGAAAAAAAAAAAAGAATTTATTATTATTATCTAGAGACTATTAATAACAGGAGGTGAAATGCAGCTCCAGACGTATCGAGCGTGTGGTGACATCACAAGTACGCTTCTGTTCCAATTGATCCAGATTTTTGCTGCGTGCTCCCTTACTCTCAGAGTCCACACTTTCCTGTGTTCTTCTCAAGAGCATACTTGGCGAGGACACAAGTTCATACTCTCGTTCTTGTGAATTGAGTAGCTAGAGACATAGACTGGTATTCGGCATTACAGGCTAACAAAGAAACCAAATGTCCCCAATTCCAAAGGGCTGGACCTGTTCGTCCATTTAAATGTGCATGTTTTCTAAGCAAAAACAAGGCTTTGTTGGGCTACTGTATAAAACCTCGAACTCGAGCTATTTCTGACATTTTAAATTGAAAAAGCTTCCTGGATCACCTTTCAGAGGCCGTTTCTCAATATGTGTGCTTGTGCATTTTCATGTGCCCGTGAGCTCGTGAAACATCATCAGCCTTAGCCCTAGTAATGTTCCAATTCACAAGTCGAGCAGACTGATAACAGACGTATGTTATGGTGTATGCCATATACCATAACCGCAAGCGAAACGTCTTCAAACTTGGAAACAAATTCCAGTGGATTGTTTTTAAACTTTTTGGAAAGTTATAGGTCTCCACTTTGTTTAAAAGGCCTCCATCTTGATGTTGCATTTCCCATCTCTCCACTGTGTAATGCTGGGAGGTTGTGGTCTTAACCAAGCACATGTTATACACAGCAGAACTCTGATCAAATATTTATTGTCTCTGTCGATCATGTCTGCGGGGATTATTCCTGAAATATATACAGATATATCCAGATCTAAATGAGTGCCCAAAATATTTTTTATCTGTTTGCACATTTTTCCAAAACTCTGTAAAATTAGTTAGAACACTCCATTTAAGAGTATTACTGCTGCTGCCGCCTGTAGAGAGAAGATGCTGTGAATTATGTCCACATTAGATCACCTGGTAGGAGTGGCCATTGGGACGGCCAATGATTGGTTAAGGGTTGCCATGGCCACCCCTGGCCCCCCATCTGGTTCCACCTCTGCTCAACAGGGGAGGAGTTTTGTGAACATCAAATGAGTTCATTTCATGTTTATCACTGTTGATCTTTCAATGTGGGCGTAATGATAAGCCATAGTTGTGTAATTCTGTTTTTATGATCTAAGAGAGCTGCTGCTCACCCAGAGGGGATTTTAATTTCGAAAACATGTGTAGACAAAGAGAGTGAAACACATTTCTGTGCCCTGCTGGCCAAATTCTTGCATTTAACAGATGAATGACGCTGCTTCTCTTCTGGTTTTCTCAGCTGCTCTTTCCTGTTGTCTTGTTTTCTAATGCTGAGGTCAGAGTTGCTTCCTCTCACAGAGATGTTTGCTTTAACCTGCGCTGTTATTTAAATTTTTTGCACACTTTTTACCTCAATCCACAAAATACACATAAACAGTTTTCCTTCATCGTTTAAAATGACCTGTTTCTCTAGGCCTAAAATGTCGTCAGGTTCCCATAAATACTCAAAGTGCAGGTCTATTCTACAAGTCTAAACCAAAACAGAAAACAGAGCATTTTTTCACAAGATTTTTTTTTTTAACCCAAGGCGAGCTCAGTTATCTGATCTCAATTTGTTTTTTTTCCTTCAGGCTTAGAGGGTGTGAGCTTTTTCAACAGGAAGCATGATATGTAAGATGTAACGAATGTGGTGTTGTATAATGACCTCAAACATCCACTCAGTGAATCTGTTGGACTCATTCCTTTCTCTTTTCGGCAGGATGTTTGGGAAACAGTGCACTTATAATCAGGAAGCATTTCTATTAAAGTGACTGATTTTGATAAAAGTCAGCTTTTGTTTTTGGTTTTGCTTCTGCAGAGATATCTGGTCTCTGGGTTGTGTCCTCTACGAACTCTGCAGCCTGAAACATCCAGTAAGTTCCGCCTCTCTACTGAGTGCTTTACCTGAACAGCTCCCCATCGCTAAGCTATCAGTGAAGCTGATTTGGCTGACAGAATTTCCTGTTACCTAATGTTCGGTTTCTGACCACAGTTTGAGGGCAGCAGTCTGAGGCAGCTGGTCAGTAAAATCTGCAGAGGCCGCTACACACCTGTACCCAGCCGCTACTCCCACGACCTTCGCCTGCTAGTTACCCAGCTCTTCAAGGTCACAAACACTCATCCTCTTTCTTGCAGCATTTACATCTGACACAGAAAACTGAGGTTACACAGTCGTAACAAGAGCGTTTTAATCAGCTGTTAACAAGAGTATGAAGCAAAATTTCATCCTGGGTTTATTAGGATCAAAATGACTCACTGTACAGAGGTGAAAGTTTAGTTAATTATTTTTTTTTTTTTTATGTCAGTAAAGTCCCCAATGTATTATTGTTAGTTTACTCTGTAACAAACCTACAAAATAAGATCAGTTTTAGGAGTTTAGCCCATTTAAACACATTCACACCTGCCATACACCTGCAATGCAAATAGCTTTAAACCAAAGCTTTACTGCTGGTAAAGGGCAGAATTATGGTCCTCCTGCATGGTTTGGTTTATTGTTAGAGATTTCTGAATTCAGAGTTTCCCAGTTTTTCTCATTTCTATTTTAAAGTCCTCCTAATTGTTAATCATTCTGGTTATATGTTTACGTAAGGCCATCCTTCATGCTCGTCCCCATTTTGTCTTACCGCTCATGAGTCTGACATAGTGGAAAAATTGCAAATCTTTTTTTTTAGCCTGTATGAGTGGTGCAAACAGCAACTTCTAAACATGCATAAGGAGTATTGGGTTCCTGCATGCTCTTGCATGCGTTTAACAGGGGATCCCTCTTGGGAGGGGTACAGAGTAGTGCAGGAGCATTTCTTTAAAGTGGAGAGGGCGGGTTTTTCAAAACTTCGTGAAAATCCTCCACTATACCTTTAAGCAATATTTCCAAATTGGACATTTCCTATAGACATTTTTTTTTTTATTTAAAATTCGGTACAATTTAGCAGCCAATTATGGGAATGAAAGAACTGGTTAAATGGGAATATAGTAATTCTTTCTTATCTGAACCTTAGAAGCAACAGGTTGGATTAGTCAGAATCAGGAATCGAAGGAGGTGCATATGTCAATGTGACTTCGTCCTTCGGTATCAGCCCGAGCTTCTCATGATAGAGTCCCCATTGTCCTCTGTGGGCGCTGCAGCCATCTCCTCTGTCATTAGAAATACACCAAACGCACAGCTCCTACTCTCCTCTTTTCTTCAGTAAACAATGAAAACTACTTTGAGTCAACTTTGGTCTGGGTTGATTTTTTTACATACAATTTGGGTTTTTGTTTTGACCACAAACCCAGATGGAGGTTTTAAATGCCAAAGCATGAATTTAATGTCTAGCATGCAGGTGACCAATGATGGGACTTAAAATAAAGATCCATGATCTGGATTACTGGATAAAAGTTACCTTTTTTAAAAATACATTAACAATATTGGTTTATCCTTGCTGGGTCAAATTTTAGCTCTAAGACTAAACAACCAAAAGATATACAAATTTTCTTATCGATAAAAAGATTGTTTAAGAAAATAGGTGTTCTAGTTATGAGAAAATATTAACTATTTTCTAACTTGATGACCTACTGTTTGAGTGGAATTGTTAGGAAATAATAAAGTAGAAAACAGGTGGCTGTTTTCTTTCAGGTCAACCCCCGTGACCGTCCCTCAGTGAGCTCAGTCCTCCGTCGGCCATTCTTGGAAAAGCACATCAGCAGACATCTCAACACTCAGGTAAAAGGTTGGATTCATTTCTTGAGTAATTGATAAGGCCATCATCTCAGTGAAGGAGCTGAGAAGATAAAGTTATAGAAGATAAGACAAAGAAAACATTTAGAAAAATCTTAGCATGGAAATGCAAAGCGATCATACTGTAGCAGTTTTGCCATATTTTATCCAATTCTCTACATTGGTATGAGCACAAATTGTCCATAATTGTGAAGTTAGACATATAATCCAATAATCTTGAAAGTATATTCAGTATGTTTGGTGGGGGGGGCATGCAGCTTACCAGTGGCCAGCTGTTTTTGCCAATGGGAAGGGAGCCAAATGCAGATTGTTAGCTGGTTAGCTTGAACTCACAGTGGAGAAATGTACTCGTAACATTGGCTCAATATCAGAAAGATAAAAAGATGGCAAAAGGAGGAAAAGGTGGCCAGGGGGAGGACGCATGAGGAAACAGAACTCCACTGAAAAACAGGCTAAGCTCCAACATCTATGAACAAAGATGTTGATGGCAGCAGCACAGCTGATTTTTTTCTCTGGGATTGTGTCACTGCCAAACAGGAAGAGACCAGATGAAGCTACTATGAGAAAAAGCAGAGAGAGCATAAAGTCAGAACTGAACTAACAAATACTGCAGAATGGGAGAATGGACTGAAGATAAAATGATTAAAAGGGGTCTCTATGTCCTCGAGTAGTCTAAGCCTATGTAACTATAGAGTGTCTTAAAGAAAATATTCCCACAGCATTATGACGCAACACCATGTTTAACCGGTTTAACTTAATGCTCTCCTTGCTTATTAGTATCAGTGGACAGCCTTTTCTTGGTATAATTAAAGGGCTGTCATACTGATTCCACATTCAGATGCAGGGTTAAACGGAGCTCTGTGAGATGTTCAAAGCTTGGAATATAGTGTTATAACCTAATCCTGCTTTAAACTTCATCCCAGACTTTTCTGCTGCCTTCCTTGGTCTTCATGATGCTTTTTGCAACTGGATTCACACTGAGGAATTTAGACGCTGTTTTGGTTCTTATAAAACAAAATAAATATTATTAGCTTTTGTGAAAACTGTTTCCTACGAGCTGTCAGTGTGTACATATGTTTATTGGTATGCGTGTGGTTTCTGTTTGCAGATGAGGCAAGATGAGTTTAACCACATGGCTTCACATCGAAACAGATTTGCAGCTGCATCTGAAACTGTTAAAATAAGAACAGGAGCAGAAAACGCTGCAGGTACAAAGAACAGCCTGCAAACTCATGAACATTATTCGCTTTGTTTATTCTGATACAGATCTGCAAGAGCTCATTGACCTCTGATGCTGTAATTCCACTAGATTCATTTCTGGTGGAGTTTGTTGGCCATCTTACATTAAATATAAAGTTTAGTGGAGGAAAACAAAACTTAGACATTTTAAAAACAGTACAGTTAAAAAAAAAAAACGTTTCTACTGCCCAAGGTCTCTAAATGTGAAAAAATTATATTTTTAATAACAGAGATTTACAGAGTGATAGAGACCGGAAAGAAATGACAAAAAACACACTTTTTCCGTACACTGTTGTTCAGCAAAAGGACAGAAAGCCAGAGGAGCAGAAAGGCCTGGGGCAGCAGGCAGAAGACCGCCTGGTAAGCCTGACTATAGGGTCCCTATCCGAGTGAACAACCCCCCTCAACACAGAGTAAGTTATAAAAAAAAAAGCCTCATACTGTAGTTCTACAACAGGATTAACTGCATTTCTGCTATTTACATTTTTTATTGTTGCAGCCTCTTCATCAAAGAGCGGCCAAACCAGCTGCAGACAGAAGGTTTGCAGGGATTCAGAAGTAAGTAGGAAGTAAAACCTACTCTAAACTCATTAAAATGTCTGCCATGTAAACTGTTTATGAATGTTAATAGCCTCATGGTGAACCTCTAAAGGCCTTTGAAGAAATCAGATAGTTTGTCCTGAGAAGAGAGCAATGATCATAATTCAGCCATTGCTGGAGGACCAGGATGCTCAGACAAATCCATGTCATACCTCTGGCTACAGATTTGATGGGCGGCAACCTGAAAACCACTACCAGCACTACCACGCTCAGCTGGATGTCTTTCAGCAGAGAAATAAAGACGTTCCTGCTGTAGCTCCTAATCCAGCTGCTGCCCCTCAGGGTCCAGTCATGGATGTGAAGCCACACGATGACGAACAAGATGGTCGTCCTGTGGAACCCTACCAACTGTATGCAACACAATAAGAAGCACTGAAGTTCTACAAAAACCCTTTACATGATTGTCATGAATATCAGGAAATATGTTTATATGTAGAAATTGATGAATCTTAGTGTTCAGTAATGAATTTAATCTAGATTTGCTACAGCGAAGTCAGAAACCATTTAATTGCAGCAGGACTTACTTGTTTTCAAACTTTTTGTATTGCTAATTAGAAGTATTAGTGAGTTTAATTGTGTTTTTGATAAAATGTAGAATCCTAGTTACTTGACTGGTACCATTGTCACTCCTCCTCACCCTCACCTGTCCTGTTTGTTAGTGTGGCTGCAGCTCATAACGAATACCTGCAGAGGAAACAGGAGGCCAACCTGTATAAACTGAGAGCAGAGAAACAGCTGGTAAGACTAAGCTCAGCAGATTCACTCGTATCATTAAGGAACTCAGCAGTGAGCTTGTTTGGTTCTGATTCTGTTTCTGGTTTTTACATTTTTCAGGTGATAGAATTTAAACTACCTTCAGAAAACACAACAATTAACAATTGCATTGTCTTATTTCAAGTGCATTTTATCTAGATACCTTATTTTAAGAGTAAAAATACTACTTCCATTGGCAAATCATCTTATTTACCTGCTTAAATTAATTTAAGAAATTTTTACTCATTTTGAGATCATTTTTGCAGTGAAATACATTATTTATTAAACCATTTAAAGGACTTTCCTCAATTGCATGAATAGTTTATTTGTTTCACCTAGCAGCTATATCCCAACATACATTCTTAGATCATATCCATTATCTCCAGGGTTTGCGGCCATCTACAGCTGAGAGCAACAGGAAACTAAATGGTGTGGAGCAAGAGGTGGGACGCCCTGAAAACCAACATTTTCCCCAGGACAGAAAATATGAGGGACAGCAGGTGGGACACAGAGGACATGCAAGCCCATGCACACATTTCTAATCAATAGCTAATGAAAGGAAATTAATCTGTAGAATAAAGTAAAGTGTTTAATAGATATTGTTGAAAATGAAGACAGACAGTGAGTGTTGGTCTGTGTGTGTGTGTGTGTGTGTGTGTGTGTGTGTGTGTGTGTGTGTGTGTGTGTGTGTGTGTGTGTGTGTGTGTGTGTGTGTGTGTGTGTGTGTAGGAGTATCTTCGTCAGCTGGATCTGATCAGGCAACAATATCATCAGGAGAAGAGACAGATGAGAGAAAAAGCAGAACCAGAGGTATGAAAATGAAATTTGATTACAGTAGGTAAGATATTGTATTTATATAGTGAAGTTTTTTTAACTCTTAAGAGTAGCCCTGGTGTGTTTTTTTAATGGTCATATTCGATAAATCAGAGAACACCTTCCGATGACGGTTGTTTGTCAGATTTAAATAACCTTTGAATGGTATTAAACGCACATTTCTTTAAGCCCAGTTTTTGTATTAAAACTGGTTTTAAAATTGGTCTGATTTAATATTCTAATACTTAATCATATTTTATCAACTGAAAACAGAAAAACATAATTTAAAGGAATGTCAACTTAAAAACATAACTTTGTGAGTAATTAATATATGTAATGTGTTTCACCAGAGTTTTCTGAAATAAATAAACTTGGCAATAATATTGTAATTTATTACAGAGAGACGTAAAAAACAGCAGTTGTAAATACTAGATGTTCTGCAGCTTTAAATGTAGAATAGTAGAACATTAAATTAGAAAGAAAGAACAGATTCAGATAAGATGCTAAAACTTTGTTTATTTTTTTCCCCTGAAATGTTCATACGCAGATATAGATGTTCTTTTATTTCACAAGAAGCGGTGCGGTTTAAAAGTGGAACTGGCTTATGGCTCGTTTCGTGCAGACGTGCTTTTTCAGGCTTTCTTTCATACAGAATCTACTGAGCACAAAACCACACAGATAAAACAGAAAATTCTCTGGTTTTCCGTGTGGTTTCGTTACATCTTTAATGTGACAGCTGAGTACCGTGAATCCCCAAAGCCTGCAAAGCATCTCAGCTACTATCGCTAACAGAAGACCTGCAGCCTAATACGTGTGTGATTATTTGTCAGCCACTAGATAAACAAGGAACCTTTGTGGTTGAAAAAGCACGAGACCTGGGTGCTGCTTCAGATGCTGAAGAGCAACAAGAAACACCTGTTCAGGTAAGACAGAGCAACATCAGCCTGCCTTGTGCTTATCATCATTCGCCAGACTTTGTTTTGTAGGAAGGTTTTAGCTGCATACAGATTAACATGTTCTAAGTAACGGCAGTTCTATATTTAAAGGATCTAATAGTTTATTTTTAAATGCATGTAGCCTCTGTCTTGTCTAACACAGAGCCTGATGACAGGTCAGGGGATGATGGACAGCTGGTAGATTAGTTCGGCCAGAGTCCTTTACTTTACCCTATAGAGGAAACCAAAGATTAAGGTGATGGTAACGAGGCCTTCAAACCTTAAATTCAATTTAATTCAGTATATGTATATAGTGCAAATTCACAACACGTCATCTTAAGGCACTTTACAGAGACAATTCAACCAGATCATAGTTACTATCTAAGGAAAACCAGCTGATTGCATCGACTCATTGACTGGAATCCTCCACACCAAGCATGCTTGTAGTGACAGTGTAGAGGGAAAAACTCCCTTTTAACAAGAAACCTCCAGCAGAACCAGGCTCAATGTGTGAGCAGCCATCTGCCGAGGCTGACTGGGCTTCAAGGCGACAGAAGCAGACATACAGAAAAAAGCAGAGATACAAAAGGCATCTGTCAAACAGCTCCATATTTTGCCCCGTGCTGGAAACAAACAGTTAGGCAGAAAAGCTCAGAGCCAGCTTCTATGTCAGAGGATAAAGGAGAGCACATAGAGTTGGTTAGAGTCAGAGAAACAGGACTAAAATCTGAAAAGTGTGGCATGCATGCTTATGCAGCCCTTTTCCCTCTGATACTCTCAAATAAATTTCAGTGCTACCAACCAAGCTTTTATCAGTAAATAAGAGGATATGTGTGTGTAATTTGATCTCAGTATAAAAGCAGCTTTTTAATTTTTTTAGAGAACACAAATGAACAGGCGACATTATTAGGACGAGAGAATACAGTTGACAGGTCAGGAGGTAGGTTGTCAAAAAGTGGAAATAAAGTTGAGTTATAACACAATCCTCCCATGTGCAATAATCAGTCAATGCAGACAGTAACTCTGAGCAACTGGTTAACTCTACAAGCCATGTAGGGGGCACGGCAAAGGTGGAAGAGGATGCATTGATCACATCAGACCAAGTTAAAACTTTTAGAAGCAAAGACTATGACTGCACATCAACCTTAACATAACAATCCTCACCATGAAACATGGTGTTGGTGGGATCATGCTGTGGAGCTTTCTTCAGCAGGGAGAGCACAGCTGTCCAAAGAGAATATACAGACAAATGTAATACTCAGACAAAATACCTACAGACAAAATCAGAATCCTTAGATGTAATCCTTACAAAGATGACTCCCTCAAAACGAAAAGGTCAAATATTAAACCTTCTTAGAGAAAAAACAGAAGAGAAATGTGTGGAAGACAGATTAGAGCACTTGCAAAAAATCTAGAAATATTATAAACAAACAATATATGCATGGAAATGTATCACGTGGTGTTTTCATAAGCTTATGCGTGATTGTCTGACAATGGGGGAGCATTGCCTTCACAGTTTTGAGAAGGAAGCTATTTATAAGTCTATTCATTTAGGATTTAATGCTCCAGTATTGTTTTCCTGAAGGAAGTGGGACAACCGGTGCATTTCCTCTGTTTTAGCTGCCAGATGCATGTCTTGTGTAAATGCACCTGGCCCTTTTCTGGATTCATGCATCATAAACCAAGTCATACAGTCAGATCAAAAGAACAAAGTTGTTTTTTGTGCTTAGCATATCTAAGTTCAATCTAGAATCCGTTCACATCGGTTCTTCTGTAGGTTCTGTAGGTATTTAGGTTCTAAACATGTGGAACTGGTTGGAGATATTCTTGAGATTAGTTGTAGGTGTTAATGTAGGGAAATATAGCTTTTAGGTATGCATTTGTAATAATGTTAATTACATGTCTTATTTGCCTTATTGTTCATGATCCACAAAAAGTTTAACATCTTAATGTTAGTTGTAAAAAAGTCCAGCACTCTAAATAGTTTTGCAAATTCTTTTAAAATGGTGTTATTGTTTTGGTAAAGATCATAACACAGCTAAACCCTGATAGGCTGCGTTAGTTGCTTTTTTTGGTCGATCGCTTTCTGTTCTTCTTTTCTTTTTTTCCTCTTCTGTTCTTTTTTTCTATTATTATTTTAGTTCATAGAAAACTATTTATGACTTCTTTAAATCCAGCATATTTTGCCATAAATTCCTCAGGTTTTTTTCCCCACTGCAGGATATAGAAGCAGCTCTGAGGCAGATCAGAGACGAGAGCAACAATTATTTGTAGAAAAGGAACAAAGATAAGGTGAGATTCAGCCTGATAAAACTTAGACTTAGACTCAACTTTATCTCTTGGGATTACTCCTTCAGGGAAATTCTGGTTCCAGTAGCTTATTTAGAGCCCAAAAGGAGTTAAAGTAAGATGCCATTAAAGATAAAAATACAAAAGACAATAGAAAAATAGTGCAAATAGTACAAAAAAGCATTAAAAAAAGTTGTAATGTCTAGAAATATGTGCCCTTTAGATATAAAAATATCTGCACAGTGCTAAGGAAAGACTAACCAGTAGTTGACTTGGATTATTGCACTTGTACTGCAGAGATGTACTGACCTATAAATAAGTAAAAAATTACACAGGTTACACAGTACTTGGCATGTGTTATTGCACAGTGAGAGAGAAGAATATTGCACATGAGAACAAGATGTCAAAAACTTTCAAAAGAATGGATTTTAATTTGAACAAGATATCAGCATTGAACAAATGGGCAAAATATATAGAGTATAATCAGCTTTAGGTCCCCCATTAACGGCACAGCATGTGTATTAAACGGATGACTATTATTTTTATTAAGTCTTAACGATCATCATCAGTTGACAGCTTTATCTGAGAAAATATGAAGTAAAAATGTCTGAACTTGACTGAAGGATCTTAATTTTTGGACTTTTAATACCTGCAGAGAGGAATCATGTTTGAGATCCGGTTGGATGAAGAAGAAACCAAAGACACCGGAGAGGAAAACACAGAGGAGATGAAAAGCAAAGAGGACGAGGTAGAAGATAGAGGAGTCAGAATGAAATCTTTTTCTCTAGATGTCTTCCTTCTTTTCTTTTCTCACTCTGATCCCAACTCACCAAACAGGAAGTGGATCGTCTCAATCATGCTTTAAGCTTCCAGGAAGGGGAGGAGTTAAAACTCAAAGATTGGTCAAAGGAGAGAAAGAAGTGGAGCCAAAGGATCCCTCAGACTCTGCTGGACGACCTCGCCAACATGGACATCAACTCAGTTTATAACACAGCAGCAGCTGAGCCTGAAGAAGGTGCAGCACTCAGGAAAAGTGAAATATCCTGCCCATTTTGAAAAATCTTGTCATGTTTTAGTTGTATTTGTTGAGAACTGCTGCTGTCAGCGGGCGCTGACCTGAATGTGTCTCAACCTCTCAGAAGGTCGCAGGCAGTGGACCAGAGGCCCGGCTAACTCCCTGCTAAACGCTCTCGCTCAGAATCAACCTTCATCACCTCTGGACTCAGTCATTGCCGGTCAGGCATAACAGGAACATTGAAAATGATTTTAAAAACCATCCAAAAAACCACACTAAAATGTTTGTCCTTTTAGATTTCGATGCAGTGGAGAATGAGGAGGATAAAGAGGACTCAGATGTGGAAATGGACAAACAGCGTCTGGAGCCAAGGTCTGATGATGATGACACGTGAGTTCATCTCTGAACACAGGAATTGCTTTTTTGAATATACCCCGCTTCCTTTAATTTCCTTTTTAAAGATTTTACAATGGCAGGATTACAGCTTGGAGGAATGATGATGATTAGGAGTGTGAATCTGCTTAGTCAGTATAACAAATAGTTTTAAACAAATATATCCCTAACCTTGATTTGCTGTATAATAAAAGCCTAGATATTATAAAGGGGAGGCAGAAATAATTACATGCAACCGTCTTTGTTCAGGAATTTTGAGGAGTCAGAGGACGAGCTGAGGGAGGCCTTGCGTGACTCCATGAGGAACCTTTTCGTTATGGAGAACTCCAGCTCAGATGAAAATGAGCAGGAGAAGTTAAAGGAGACTGGAGAGGCAGAGAGGAACAGCGGAGGGGCAGTTAGTTCCTCAGGTGAAGATTCACCAGGATCTGAAAATGATGTTTCTACTAAATCTGAACAAGATCCAGATGGTCCAACTGATTCCCACCCAGAGAACAACACGCCTCGGAATAAGCATCAGGCTACATGAGTCCTTATTTCAGTGAAAAACTGAACTGATCTACCTGTAAGTTAGAGATGGGATTACTCTGAATCATCTGCCCAATAACATGAGAAAGAGTTGAAAGCTTTGCTCTTGGTGAAACAAATAGTTACAGTCATTATTAGTGTAAGATATACATATTAATTTAGATAGATAATAAAAAATTTTTGTGCTACTACCTGCAGTCCTCATAATATTATTTAGTTTTAAATCCAGGAGTAAATAAATAAATCTTGAAATAAAACAAAACAAACTTTTTGAATAAAACAGCTCTTCTTATCAAACAGGTAATTAGTATTTACTGTGTAATGTAGGACAGAATAAAAATAGGGAAGTTCCACAGGACATGCAACGTTTTTGGATTCTTGTACATTTCTTGTACTTCTTTCCCTACAGTGGGCACTTATGGAAGGTGCCGAATTACATTCAACAAACGTTTCAACTTCAGTAAAGGATCCATGTAAAACTCTACAGAAGAGGGATCCACAGCTTTTTTAATTCCAAAAGGGAAGGTCCTCTTTGAGTGTTTTATTTGACTAACACATGGGGCATCACTGTGTTGCCATAGCAATGACTGGGTCCCATTCTCTATATCCCATCCACCTTCCTTTCCATAATTAAGGGGTAGTGCATAGGGGCGGTTTGGGATTGGGCCTCCCTACATCCCATGTTGTAATGGAGACATTGAAAGGGACAAGTCCAATCCCTGATTTAGCAATGTCACTGCTAAAATAATGATTTTAAAACTGTAACAAGAAATACATTTTATACAGATACAGCGAGGAAAATAAGTATTGGAAAACCCTGCTAGTCTGCAAGTTCTCCCAATTAAAAATCATGGAGGAGACATAATCACAATATATTACTTTTTAAACAATTTATTTATATGATAACACTGCAAATAAGTATTTGAACACCTGAAAAAATCAATGTTGATATTTGGTACAGTAGCATTTCAAATTACAGAGGTTTCCTGTAGTTTTTCAGCAGGTTTGCACACACTGCAGGAGGGATTTTGGCCCATTCCTCCAAAAAGATCTCCAGATCAGGAAGGTTTCTGGGCTGTGGCTGAGAAACACAGAGTTTGAGCTTCCCCCAAAGATTCTCTATTTGGTTTAGGTCTGGAAACTGGCTAGGCCACACCAGAACCTTGAAATGCTTCTTCCAGAGCCTCTCCTTGGTTATCCAGACCATTCTTCCATGCTCTGACTAAGGGAAGGAGGTTGTTCTCCATAATCTGGCAATACATGGCCCCATCATCCTCTCCTTAACTCCTTAATACAGTAGTGTCACCCAAAGCATGATGCTACCACCCCCATGCTTCACAGTAGGGATGGTGCTTTTGGGATGGTACTCATCATTCTTTATATTTTGGTCTCATCTGACCACATGATTTTCTCCCATGACTCCTCTGGATCATCCAAATGGTGATTGTAAAAGCAGGGGAACCTGGAATCTGTGCCATGTCCCAGCTCTTTTCAGGTCATTGACCAGTTCCTCCCCTGTAGTGCTGGGCTGATTTTTCACCTTTCTTAGGATCACTTAGACCCCACAGGCTGAGATCTTTCCTGCAGTCTCAGTCTGAGGGAGATTGACAGTCATTTTTAGCATCTTCCATTTTCTACTGATGGCTCCAACAGTGGACCTTTTTTCACCCAGCTGCTTGGCAATTTCACCGTAACCATTTCCAGCCTTGTGGAGGTGTACAATTTTGTCTCTAGTGTCTTTGGACAGCTCTTTGGTCTTGGCCATGTTAGTAGTTGGATTCTTACTGATTGTATGGGGTGAACAGGTGTCTTTATGCAGCTATCGACCTCAAACAGGTGCATCTAATTTAGGATAATAAATGGAGTGGAGGTGGACATTTTGAAGGCAGACTAACGGGTCTTTGAGGGTCAGAATTCTAGCTGATAGACAGGTGTTCAAATACTTATTTGCAGCTGTATCATACAAAAAAAAGTCATATATTGTATTTCAGGATTTTTTTTTAGATTTTGTCTCTCACAGTAGACATGCACCTTTTGGTGACAATTTCAGACCCCTCCATGATTTCCAACTAAGAGAACTTGCAAAAATAGCAGGGTGTTTAAATAACTATTTTCCTCACTGTATATAGTACATTTCAATTCAATTCAGTTTATTTCTATAGCTCCAATTCACAACACATGTCATCTCAAGGCACTTTACAGTTCACCAGATCATACAGTCAAATTGATTCAAAGTTTCTATCTATAAAATATAAATTATTTTGATAATCACCTGAAATCAACTGTTTTTTTCAGCACAGGAGCTCAATTTTTAAACCCTATAAATGCAATAAATGTGTAGAATTCAAACAGCAATAAGCCATGTGCAAGACATGAGGAGATGACTCAAAAACACACATTAGAATAAACAAGAACATTGATGGGGGAAAAGTCTGACTGGATCACAATACCACGAGAGAGAAAATGAAATAAAGGCATTTTAGAAAAAAGAAAAGTATTCAGCCATTTCATATTTTGGTTATATTTTTCAGTGTAGTCCGGTTTCTCTGACTCTAACTGCATGCCCTCTCTTCATCATTTCAATATTTCATTTAGCATAGGGAGCTCCCGACATATAAGCTATACAATTCCCCACAATCCTGTGTCACACATACACATTTTTTCATGTTTTGGTTTGTATAATGATTCAGCTGTTTATTACACATGCTACTTTTGTTTTAGTAGCTTCTGTTTTAACTCACATCACCTATGTGTGTTTCTGTCCTGTAATGACATTGGCGAAAAGTAAAAATCAGACATGCAATCTTGACTGTGTTGCAGTACATTATATTTTACCTTTCAAATGTACCATTGCTTGAAGAACTGTGAATATGCAAACCTTAGTTTGTTACCAGTGTGAGGGAAGGTTTGGCCTTAAGAGTAACCGTGCAAATAGATTCAGCTACTGCTGTTCGCAGATGCAGACCTAAAAGAATAACATAACTCCCTCTGACACCTGGATACTTGTGATGATAAAGGGAGTCATGGTCAAGGTTTTTATTGTGGGAACAGACTGAGTTTACGCACTGAATCTTCCAAAAGATGAGGTGATTTAGAAAGCCTCTGACTGCTTCTGAAGGTTGAGGGGAAACAGGTAGGAGATGCAGTCTCCCTTATCCATTGATAAATAAATGTCTTGAACTAAATCTCTAAGTCTTAGTCATGACTTCACTGTGTCAACTAAATTAATCTTAGGGAGGCAATGTGGAAAAAGAATATCCTGTTATTTAATTTGAGCAACATTCAGTATTTTAAGCCCAGAGTTCCTTTTCTATCTAAAATTGTTTTCTTTTTGTTGACTGCATGAAATGTGAAGGAAGAGAAGCTAGGCTTTCTTATGTAGGATTATGTGCTTAAAAACACCTGTTCTCACCTTGATGGTCCGGCTGTTTACTGCCTGCTCGACCTGTTGTAACTGTGACAGGACAGTGCTTTAAAGAGACTGTTTTCGGTTGACAAAAAAACACTGAGATTTTTCATCTATTTATTTTTTAGCAAGCTTCTTTCATCACTGTCTGCACTGACAATATGTGGAACACAATCATTCACTACAAAAACATCTAAGAATAATTTAAAGTTTCCTAAATTAAGTGAATATTAATAGGTACATCCATGATGTGCCAACTGAATGAGTATATTGCTACTTAAAATAGATTGGATATAATAATAAAAGATTATGAAATGTGTTTTTTTTTTTTTTTTAATATAAATCTCATTCCATCGACAAACTATCGTACTTACCTGCTCAAATTAAAGTAGGCTTATTTACAAAAAAAAAAAAAAAAATACACTTCAATTTCTATTTTTTGTAGTGTTTGGCATGTTTTCTTATAGATCTGCAGTTCCAAATGCAAAAACCCGTCACACCGAAATTCTTTTCTATTAAAGACTGATATAAAACTACATCTAATTTTTACACAAAAACATTGCAGTTTAAACTTTATTTTTTTCATGCTTACAGAAATTAAGCCTTTTTGCTCTAATTATATAATAATAACACCTGCTTATTTGCTTAGAACAGTAGAGTTCAATAGTTTCAGTCTTATTTAAGACTGTTAATAAAAACTTAAAGTCATTCATCATCATTAAAAACTTGTTCCTGGGAACTGATCACTTTTTTGTTTTTTTAACGATCTGCCTGATCCAGCACATGGCTGCTTGCATCATTTCTACTGATCTGTGTCATTTTCTTTTGTTAAAAAGATGTGTGTCTGTGATCTTTAAGCGGTAATAAATCCACACCAATATATTCAGTAGTTATTTTAGAAATCCAAAAAGGAGACATTTCCAGATATTTGCCTGGTACTGTGTGTTTTGTGATTTTTTTTTTAACAGATGCAACATGAGTAAAGAAAAAAAAAATAAACATGTTCAGGAGGTATTTGGTTTTACCTACTTTTTATACCAGGAGTAAAAATGTTTTTTTTTTTCCTGGTCTTTATATTGTAATGAAAGTCTCTGACCACAAGGGGGCAGCACACAAAAATTTACTCTTTATTTTTACAGTATTATTCAAGTGTATTTTCATATCTCCAACAATATAAACATTTTCTTTACATAAACTTAAATAGCTTTAATGCCTCTTTAATAATAATGGTTTTATTTTTACCATTTATAATAATATCATGCCTGGATTTTATAAATTGGTGAAGGAATGCAGAGAAAAAAATCATTCAGACAATATTGATAGATTTGGCCATAACCTCAACTAAACCTTCATCTTCAATAAAACAACAGAGATTGCACAAAGTAGCAACAGAAAAAGCCCCATTTAACTAAAAATCCACTGAGATAAAAATAACATTTAAATTTCTGTTTTAGAGATCATTAAAGAAGGTGACACATTCAGGAAAATAAAAATATGTAAATACAAAAAAAATATTATTTTTGGATAGAAAGACTAAAGAAGAGCAGATTTTAAGAAACAATCTTCTGTTATTCTACCCAGAATCAACATAAATTTGATCTCCAGTGCAGAGATGCACTAAGTCCAGCTTAGTTTAGACACAAACACCAAAAATCTTGCTGCATAAGTCAGCCTGTTATACCTATACTTGGAGGCAGGAACCAGATGATTGACCTATTAAACAATTACAAAAAGTTCTGTTATCTTTTTTGGGATCAAATATCAATGCAAAAAAATTAACTATACCTGGATTCCTGGAGGGGATTTAAATATCTATGTCTTTATTCCTAAATTATTTTTAAACTGTTCAGGGAATAAACATCCACCTGCAAGCCTGTTTAAACCAGAACATGAAGCATGAGGTGAAGCAGCAGGGGAGGATCTGCTTCTTCTTCTCATTCTGCACACAGTGGATGTTTTATCCGTTTTTAAACTGGAGTTCTGGTGAACAAAGAAATTGATTAATTTTTTTACATTTGTTCTTATTTCCTGGTAGTTAAACTAATAATGAGGCACCTTGTTACACCATCTTATTCTGTTTTAACCGGACATGAATCCCAATTCAGCAACATCAGGAAAAGACATGAAGGAAGCAGGGAAGCTTTGA